GAGGGCTGGAGCACCTCTTCTACGAAGAAAGGTTGATGGAATTAGGCTTGCTTAGCCTGGAGTGGAGAAGCTCCATGGAGGCCTCAGCACAGCATTCCAGTACTTGAGAGAAGCTTACAAATAGGAGGACCAACCTTTTACAGGGGTAGATAGTGAAAGGACAAGGGGAAATGGCTTTAAACTCTTGGCCATGGGTAGCTTGCATCTCTGCTTTTTGTAGCTCAAACTCCCATGGCTGAAAGTGGACTTGAAGGGACAGAACTGGCCATGCCCTGCAGCACGTGGCTTCCTAGGTTCAAACAGCCTACAGAAATTTGATTTATAAATACTAAGCTCAGTAGAAAAAAAAAGTTGGTAATCATTATTAAAGAGGGAAAGCATTTGTCATGTCCTTCATCTCAAAAAAATGCTCAACATGACATCTGTGCCAAAGGATTAAGAAATGTTTCTGAAGCCAACTGCTAAGCTGTGGTTTTTATTTTCGTGTTATTAAGCACAGCAGCATCTTAGTTACACTGGCACAGTACAAACCTGGAACACACAGCCGTATTTCTCGCAAACCTTAAGATTCAGGCACAGGGACGACATCCTTAAAGATCTGATTAACATGAAGGACAGTGGAAGAGGTATGCATCTCCAAATGCTTCCCCAGTCACAGGGGAATGGGCTTTGGAAACTGCAAAAATGAAGAAGGTGATCCTACAGCTGCTGAATGGTCAGACTGGGAGCTGAGGTAGGCAGCTCGGGTAGCCTCCCCCAGGCACACTGCCGAGTTTGCAGCACAGCCCTGAATTGCATCCAAGCTTCAAGTTCCCACCCCACTCTGTGATAATGGTATCCAACAGCCTCTCTCTGTTATAAACTGTCAGTGTGCAGAGCCTGGCTACCAACAAAGGATTGTTGCAGACGAAGCACTTCACAGGACAGTCACTTGATAATTGTGTCAGGCATGTCAGAAGATAGCCTTTTCTATCCTCACGTCTTATTTACTGACTTCTGGCCACAGAGAAGGAAAACACACTGGGGAGAAAACAGAACATGTATGCCAGCTTTAGTTCCAGACTTCACTGGGTGCACTGGATAACTGCAACAAAACACAGCACACTTCCCGTGGGGTTGCTCGAATCTCTAATTAAAGAGCGAAAAAGGAGAGCTGAGAAGACAAGAGAGGCAAAGCTGGGGAACAGAGAAGAACAAAGCCATCCTGTCAGCAGAGGAGCATCTTCTGGGACCAGTGACTTAACAATATTGCTGAGATAAATGAGATAAGTGCCTGGCTGTGCATTGCTGTGGTGGCATTGCCACCTGAAGGATCCCCACAGTTTTTGTTAAGCATCATCTGTGATCGTTTCACTGCTTCTCCAAGTTTTCACTTTGTCTGGCACCAGGAAAAAGCCATTGTAACATGAAGACAAATAAGGAAAAAATGAGAAAGCACATTATTTTTAGGATGTCTTCACAGGTTACAGAGGAGGCAGAGACTCTACAGTGGTATCATAAATCTTCCAGCATGAAGCTCCAGACCTGTTACTGCTTCAGCTGCTCCGAAAGAAGGTTCTTCTCACAGCACTGTTTGCTTCCCCCTCCTCTTCAAGTCTCTTTAGCCAAACTGCTTTGGCCAAATGCCTTGTACACAGGTAACAGTGACATCTGCACATCTGTTAGGTAAGAGGAAAGGAGCTCTGTGTTAAAAAGGTTTTGGGTGCTTCCCAACCAGACCAGGCTTCCCATTGCTTCTCAAGTAAAAATCACAAAAACGCACAGTATTCTGATGCTACTTTTCCTAACCCTACCACTATTCTGCTTATCTTATTTAATACTGCATTGTATGAGTCTGCAAAGAAACAGAAATATTTTATGTTTCTATCAGAAACATATCTGGTCATGCTGCTGAAGACTGTAACACACTGATCAATTCAATGAACCACACGGAAACAACGAATTCCCTCTCATGACTGGCTCCAATATGTGATAAAACCACTTACTAATACCAATGGATTTCTAAGGACAGCACTTTGGACCAAGAACACAGAAAGTCTTCACAGTCACACATATTAAGGTCCTGTTATTTACCTCCTTTCCAACTCCGAGTTTGTGGATTTATGCTCACCATATCTAAATGTGTGAATTAGTGGGGTGCAACCACCACTTGTTTTTGCATATTAAGAACAAAAGCATTCATTACTACAACTCTTCCACACTGCCACATCTTTTCTCAACCCTGGATCTGAACAATAAAAGGAACCTGAAATAAGGCAAAGCGTATCAGGCACAAGCTGGATGTGCTTACTGAATACTCAATAAGAAAAAAACCCAACACATTAAAATGCTTCAATTTGTTACCAAGTTAACTACATCGAAACTGCATTGGCACTGCGTTCCTGTAAACTGTGTGGAAAAACAGCACGACAATTTAAAACCATAACAGTGCACATCCATTAAACAAATGTAGAATGAGGTTTATACAATCACCCCAAATGGCTCATTTGCGTACAATAAGCAAACACAAAGTGATACGCTATTTTTCTCCTAAAATTGCACTCGCATTCAATATGACAGTGATTTATTATTCCAAATAAGCTTGCACATGACATGCACTATGAACAGAACTACAGATTGGCTGAGGTGGGGAAGGACCTCAGGATCCATCTGGGCCAACCCCTGCTCAAGCAGGGACACCCAGAGCAGGGTGCCCAGGGCCGTGTCCAGGCAGGGTTTGGAGATCACCAAGGAGGAGACCCCACAGCCTCTGTGGGCAGCATGTCCAGTGCTCCGTCACCTGCATGGTGCAGAAATGCTGCCTGGTGTTTGGCTGGAACTTCCTGTATTCCAGTTTGTGCCCACTGTCTCTTGCATTAGCACTGTGCACTGCTGAAAAGAGCCTGCCATGTCTATTACAACATACACTGCAAGAAAATAAAGCTTTAAACTACGTTTACATTGATGTTTACATACACAGAAGTATTTCTTAGCGCCCTTCCTTCCTTCAAGATGGTAGTATCTGAGTAACTGCTACTGGAGAAAGCACACCACTGGTGCAGAATTGCTTGTCACAGAAAGCCAAATAAAAAACACTGAGAATTACATCAAAAATAAAAAATAAAAAAATAATCACATCATTCTCCATGTTCAGCATCAAGGGTTTCTGTACCACCTAAGCTCATCATGGAGTCTGCAGTCCTCAAGTATTTCATACTAACAACTCCAGTTCTCTCATTCTTTGTAGCCTGTACAAACATGGACCTCAAGAGATATACTGGACTACATAAGAATCAAAAAGACTGTTCTTCAAAACTAGCACTTAAAGATACTCAAGTATAGTCAGGGTTGGAAAAAGGACTGCAACAATTATATTCTAAAAATGAATCAGAACTTTAACACTTGTGCTTTCCATTCAAGTTACAAGGAAAAGAATTTCAAACAAAAACCAAACAAAAGATAAAATAAGTCAAACAATTTCCTTGCTATCTGAAGCTAGAACCAAATATTAGTAAGAGTTGCCATGACTCCACAAAAATTACTAAGAATCCAGTTCATTACAGCAAGATTTCTTCTATAATTTTAGCAATACTCTGGTTTTGGAATACCGAATTATTTGTATTGAAAAGCATAGACACACAGACACACAGACACACAGACACACACACACACACACACACACACACACACACACACACACACACACACCCTCCTTCAGTATCTACAATCAACTCTTCCTTTAATTTGTGTCTGGGCTCCAACATACAACCAAGGTAGAGGAATACGATTCAAGAAATGCAACACTTAAAAGGATGCTTTCCTTAACATGGAAATGAGTTCTCTCTGGGCACCTACAATTTACAGTGAACATGTACAATTCAAGGTCACAGAACTGGTTTCTAAACTCATACAGATAAAACAGACCGGTGGCAATACTGATCACAGTTTTATAATCTCTAGGTGGGACAGAAATTACCAAATATTAATCCGAAACAGAACCATACTCCTAAGCAACAGGACTCACTGGTGACTGCGGAATCTTCTGACTTACCTAGAAAGCTGTAACAGCACGAACTGAAATCCCTTCTACAGAACAGACACGAGAGCAGCCCAGCTCATCTTAGTTTCACTGCCAGCATTACTGAAGTTATTCCAACATTGAAGTTTGTCCCCAACGATGAGCATTTCAGTCATGAAAAATAAATACGAGTATCTCTGAAAGTCAAGAAGCATATTTCTCCCTTTCTGCTATGAAAGGGCATCCTCTATTTGTATTTAACAATTACACAGATCCCTGACAGAGAAATTACAGAAATGTAAAAGCACCAGTCAGTATCCAAGACAAACTACCGACACTCAGGAGATGAATTTAACCTTACTGCATTCAGTGTTTTATATTTATCTTCCAAGAAGAAAAGGAGAAAATTCAGCTGTGAAATCTAGTTCTGCTTCACCTTCAAAAAATTTAGTCTTAAAATCCCACCCTTTTATAACACAACAGTGCTATGTTGATATATTGACATCAATTTGAAGCAGGGTCCAATAGTATACGTGGCATGAAATACAGAAGGAACACAACAACCATGAGGTAAAATTCTGTGTCTCAGGAAAGGACAAGTACCATACAAAGTCTTCCTCTAAATGGAGCAAGTGAAAGAGACGTGTCCAGGAACATTCCATGTCTATTACAATGTACACTGCAACAAAATAAAGCTTAGACTTTAAACTATATTTACATTAATAGTGCACAGAAGTATTTCATACATTACCTTGGACAGTGCGGTTGCTCACTTTGAATTAGAAAACTATTTTTAGAAGTCATATACCCTTGAAGCATACTGAGTACATCTGCCATGTCCTCTCCTCCCATTGCAATGAATGGAGGCAAGGTACAAGCCAGAAGTTCACACGAAACCTGTGGTCGTAAGAAATCATCTGATTTTTAATACTGTTAATACTTACTGCTCTGCTGAGCATTCTCTTGTTCCACAGCATGGAATAAGTAAACACAAAAACAAACATTAGAATATAATTTTTTTTTTTTAATTTTTATAAATAACTTATCTGTTACAAAGACAGTTTACCCAGCTAAATCACAAAACCATCAACTCAAGATATCCAAATTAGGTTTTATTAATAAACAGGTAAAAACTGATTTGTCAATCTTCACATAGAACTGCAGATGAAGCTGAAAAACAAGGCCTCATTTTATAGACAAAATGCATTGAATGCAAGTGCTTTGGGTCTACTGCCTAATTACCTGGGATTGGCATTTTCTTCCCACATAAAAAAATGCAAAGCCTTCAAAACAAAGGCCTTTGTGTATTCACATAGATCACTTGTAAAATTCCTAATGAAAATGTCCACTGGCAAATGTTTACAGTGGGTGACAGTCTACTTTGTCTCTTGCTACATAGTTAGCACTCCCTCCAGCCTCACTTTAAGTGCTGCTACATAATCGTGTGCTGTCTTTCATACATACTGTAATTCCATTTTCTCCATCTGTTACGTACATTCCCGATCACGTGAATATTTTCCTTAAAAAAATAGATCATCAAAAAAAGAGATGCTTGAGGTTGCTTCAGTGTTCAAGTCTGTTTGATTTCTTTTTTCCAGCCTTTATTTCAGTTGTCCTAAATATTGCTATCCTTGTTTTCTATAAATATGAGACTTCACCACAAGTCATGTTTAGAAACTGGCTGCCAAAACAGGAAAGCATTTAAAGTTCTTGAACAAAGCTGTATGATGCTGCTGCTGTTGATTTGGCACTGTGTGTACTTCCCCAATGAATCTCTCTTCAGGAGTCTGCAAGATACCCAGCAGATGAAGCAAGCTTAAATCGGAAGCTGATCTGTTGGTGGGTTGAAAGTTTCTTAGTTTATTTCCTCACGCCAGACAAAATGCTACCTTGTGTCACCCACCGTAAAACTCAGTGTACAGAGTGAACTATATGCATAACTCTTCCAACTTTTCCTGCACTTTTACCACGCTGCATCTGCAGGTCTTCACAGATCATCAGCATTTACAAGAGCAATGTACAGAATGAGCAGAGGAAAGCTATTTTGTGCATAGTTTCTTATTAATGCTCTTATTTTAAGGCATTGTTTCTCTCAGATAAAAGCTTAAAAAAAAGGGACATGATCGTGCTTAATCACTTAAAGGGAAAAAAAAAAGAAAGTTAACAAAAAGACTATTACACTATACATACAGAAGTACAAGAAAATAATAAAGGTGAAGAAAAGAAATCACTTAAAGCAGGCTCTAGAGCTATGTACAGTAGGAAAAGCTTTGGGGTATTTCACTGTGTGTATTGTACAGACAACGCATGCAGTTTTTCCTTTTCGTCTTTAGCTGTGATCGTACTGATTTCTGGCTTCACAGAGATGTTTTCAGGGAAGACAAGGCAAAGAGTACCACTGGTTTGTGAAGTTCCTCCCTTTATCAAAGGCACTATGTGGCAGCAAACAGTTTAAACAGTTAAACCTTGTTCCTTTTAAATTTCCTCTGTGCATGTAGTGTTTCACTGAAAGCTCTGAAAACAAAAATGCGAGCACTCTATTCCTTTCCCCTGTCAAAATTCAGTAGTGACTTCGGGGCAGAGAAGAGGATGGGCAACACCCAAGCACTGAACACGGTGCGTGCTACTGGGATATGGTAATACTGTACATGGTTTAGGCAGCTGGCAACTGAGTCTTTCAGCAGATTACCTTCCAGCCGATGAATTTCAACTGCCTGTGACACAACACTGAGGCATTACTAGCTCTGTGGGCTGACATTTAACATTACAAAACACCATCTCACCACGCCTTCAATTTTACAAAATCCTACACATAAATGCTTTTTCTGCCCCCAATGACTGGATAGTTCCTTGTACGTTTGCTGTGGTTTTACAGAAGATACGGGCCTGTTGGCTCAGAAATGCCTGGGCATTTCACACTGTTCACAGCGATTTAAGGCTGGATGATTTAAAAAAGTACAGGCAGTACAACTCCACTGAGCTCCCTCATCTTCATCTGCGTCTGGAACAGTCTTTGGTGTTTTCACAATGGACCTCTGATCTGTGATATGGGAGAGATAAGACAAACAGTTACTAAGAACAGCACGGAAAGAATTTTGAGACGACGATTTCAATAACTGAGAACCATCTTGTTCCTCCAAAAGCTGCAGTTATTACTAGCAACAGAAATCGCTTTTAATCACCCTCTTGACTACATCTTGACTGTAAGTCAGTCAAATGGTACAAAGCAAGCTACACAAAACTTTGAGCAGCCCCCCTTGGGCTCAAAGCTACTGCATGAGATAAAATTTAGAATCATAGGGAACAAATATCAGCACAGTGAACCATGCAAAAGATGAAGTCTGAAGTCTATGAACAATGATGTGAACTAAGAACTCTGTAGCCTTTCCATGTATTTAATATTTTGTCTCCAGAATGAATATCAGCAACTCTCCCCAAACCAGAAAGGCAGTCAGATACACAAAAGAAAAATCAAAGCCCAGCTTTGATTGTATTTTTGAATTCCAATACAAATGTTAACAACTACTAATGGAAAACTAATTTTCATTTCCGTCTACAGTAGGTTGGTGGGTGGGAAAAAAGCAACAGCTTTTAGATTTATTCACTGTAGAGGGAACTACACAAAACAGTTGACAAAACTGATACTTTCTGTACTTTCTGACATTCTTCATGCTCCAACTATAAAAACAGCACATCTTAAAGGACCGTGCGTGGATTTATTTTTGCTCCAGTTTTCATCAGCAGCCTAGATAATGGAGCACTAAAAACAAACGTATAAAACATGAAGAGCAGTAGCAGTCTGGAAGAGCTGCACAGAATTTAAAGGATAAAAGAAAAATGAACTTAAGTAGGACATTCTGAAAGAGAATTCTCTTCAGAAGAGATTCTGTGGTGAAAGTTACTGCACGCTATGACCATTCAGACACACACAATATACAGAAAACTTCACCTGCACAGAGCAACTGCACAGAAACAGTAATGGATTAATTATTCCATCTGGTGGTCTTTTTAGGTCACACTATGATGCTGTTACAAATTTCATTCTTTGCTTTATGTAACACACGAGAGCTAATTCTGTTTTATGTGATGTCCCACTAGGGCAAAAAAAAAATCACATGCAAAAATTCAAGGGGAAGCAAAATGTCCAAGATGAATAAGTTCCAGAACATTGACTGCACTATTAGTAACATCCCTCTTTTCTTCAGCTACTTGAGACCATTACGTAAATTGTGCAAGCGCAAGGAAATCCTCCAGTCTAAGTAACTGAGTTACTGTAATAAGTAACTTCACCAAGGACAGTGACCAAAACCATTCCTCACCAAGGACAATGACAAAGAAATCTGAGTTTCACTCCTGTATCTTACGTTCATTTCTAAAAAGATGGATGTTTCCATTCAACTATCTTGCAACTATTAGCCATCTTTAAGCACATCTCATTTAATACACTTCTTTTTCCTGAATACGAATAGCAAAAACTGCATACTTTTGAAGAAATCATCTGTTTTACAGTCAATATTTCATCTACAATCATGGGAAAGACCTTAGTACTAGATGCAAACCAGACATTAGCAGAAAAAAACAAATTTTAGTAATACAATACCTTTGGGTTTTGGTGGCACCGGACCAAGAAATCCAATATTATCATAAAAATTATGAATAGCACTGGGATTAAAATGTGGTCCTAAAAATAATAAAAAAGAAGAAGAAAATAATGTGCAACTATTTTTAAAACACACTTGGGTACAAAAGCAAATTTTTTGGTTTTTTTTCCAGTAGTTATGATTGAGCTTATCTTTCATATCCAGGTGTCAGTGTGGACCTGCATGAGATATCTGTAGCATCAAGAATACACAAACTTAATAAAATAAGCAATATAAGAATGTCAGAAACAAAATTCAGGAGTCCACACTTGCACAGCCTGGTTTTTAGCTAACTGCCCAATCTCTTTAAACTATCACTTTCCCCCATTCTTATAAGATTTTATAACTATTAACTTATAATTATTTAACTGCATTTTATTTGTAAATTTTACCTAATTTTCATAAATTCTAACTGCACTGAAGATATGTATGACCTACGCATTATGTCCTGGACAGCTTTTTACTTTCTCCTTATGTGCAGGTACTCTGTCTAAAGGAGAACTCGCACGGCTCACGACTGAGCTGATCCAACAGCCTGCCAGTGCTGAAAGCAGAAAGCACCAGTCCCTTCTCTCTCACTGCCTCATTCCTCCTTTCCCGTCTCTCCCTCGCACCAGCTGCAGATGTTTCCAGTAATCCCAATTTCTTTCCTTTCCCCCCCTGGGTTAGAGTGCAGTATTAGCTCTGTGAAGGGTCTACAGGTAAAGCACAGTAGTGCTCTACACACTGACAAGAACGGGGAGCAAGGAGAGACGGAGACATTGTGCTGGCAGCAATTAACTGTCTCAGTTGTCTCAGTTTCTCCTTCACGACCAAAGGCTGTGTCTCTGTAGACAGAAAGTTGAAGGAGGAGAGCACAGTGTTACAAAGGTATTTTGTTTGTTAATGCTGAATACAAGACAGAAATGCAAGACAAGAAAGGACATGTAGGTATGACTACACCATTTAGAAAACTTTTCCCCTCGTCTTTGATATTCAAGTGATCAAAGAGCTTTTTTTCCCCAGTATTTTTTAAACAAATGGCATCACAATTCTCTCTTTGGAGAGAATTAAGAGATAGGAACAACCACAGGATTAGGAAAATCGTATAGCTGACAGAACAAAAGGCTTAGAACACAGTTACTTTCATAGTTCCACTTAAATTAAAATGATTTTGCAAACAGCGCATACACTGATGACACAGTGCATGTATTTTTAACACAGCCACTTCTGATACATGCAGACAGCGAAAGGAGAAAGTAAAATTAACAATGACACTTGTTGACGTACTAAGAACATACTGTACCTCTTGCTTGAAAAAGATCAATCTCTTTGGTTAGGCAATCTATGTCTATCTGCAGCTGTCTGTTACAACTTCTTAACTGTTGCATTTCTTCCAGCTGAAAAAATAAATCTGCTTGTTAGACTAAGTGCCCCCATTTTATTATCAGTTATCATTCACACATAGGTAGTCATTTCAGAAGTGAAGATAAAAGAATTTTCCCTTATTGTTTCATTTGTCCAAGCATAAGCTTTGACAAAGCTTTCAGACCCACTGAACTCTCCTCTCATCAGACTTCAGAGCTGACTGAACAAACTCCAGATTGTGGTTAGAACACAGCCAATGGTCCACCAGATCAATGGCCATCTTCTGGACTGAAAACCGGTGCTTTATCAGTTTTCTTTTGAGATTAGTATATGCACGAAAACAATACTCTGTGGACAGCCATATGAGCATTAAGTAATCTAAGCCTTTAGGTGACCATTCCTTTAAAAACATCAGGAAGGACCACCAGGTGCAAATCTTTTGTGACTCTGAAAGCAGCAGCAACTGGTGAACTGAAAGGTTGATGGCTAAATAATACATTTAGACTCTGCACTACACTGTTCACCTGTTTAATTCTAGGTATGCTACCTACTGCTAATATATTGTCAACATACGAGCAGCTATTCCTTTAATTTGCTGCAACAGCCCATGCTTGTGGTTTAGGCTCATAGCCTACAGCCGTTTCAACTTACTGATGGAATTTGGGAAACAGAATTCGATCTTTTCAGCCGCCTTCGTGTCAGATTATTCTCCATTTCATTGACCTCTGATTTTAGTTTATCCAACTTTTTCTTTTGAATCTCAAGTTCTCGTTGAAGTCGCTCCATCCTGGCCTTCTGATGTATCAGTAAAGCTGCAATACATAAAGTCCCATTTTATCTACTTTATTATCCCTTCTTGTGACAACATCAGATAAAGATGAAAGCTAGTATTCCTTTGGGAAAATATAGACAAACTTTCTACAGATTCTTTTTCCATTCTCCTCACAAGAAAGCCTCTGCCAGAAGAAAAAACACATTGCATTTTGCAAAACAGCATAAATCAATCACAGACAACAAGTAAATACAGTGAGAAAGTCACATAACGTAACAGAAGATCATGCAAAATCTAGCTGTTATCTGCAAAAGTCTTTTTTTAATAATCCAGCAAAACTATGAGAAGAGCTTTCAGAAGTTAATAAACATTTCCTTGCATTGTGTTTTGCCTGCTCACGTGAAAGAGATGGCATGATGTAGACTTCAGAGATAGCTGCATGACAGAGCACTATGGTAGGTAAGAAATGAAATTTTTCATTTTGTTGCTATTTGGATTGGAACACAATCCAGTATTCTTTTCATAGCAGGAGACATCAAGTGAAACCAAAACAGAAAGTACTACAAGCGATACTGCTGGTAAACATCAGCTATATTTATCACGGAGGCTGGACTGTGAGTTATTTCATCTCCCAACCATTAGCTCAGCTTCTAATTTCTCTTACTGCTTACTATTCATAAATTAAATGGCATACGAAGACTTGATTTAGAGACAATCAAGTTAGCGTTTAAACCAGATCTTTTTAAACGCAAAGAACATAAGTAGAACAAGCAATTGAATACATACAATTTAAAGAGTTTATTTCATTAAAGATAGATATACTGCAAAGTATCACCACATGAGCAGACAACGCTGCTCAAAGGAACAGTGCACTTTCAGCACAGGTGAAAGAAGGATTTTATTAAATAAACCCAATCATTTCAACTGCTGCATAGTCATTCATCAATTAAATTATTAAATATAGGTATCTTCTATAGCACTTTAGAAATGAATGAGAAACAGCAATAACAAAGTACTAAAAAAGACAGAAATCTTCCTCAGAAACAACCTGTTTAAACAAGACTGGCTGAAATGCAAAATTTAATGAATCTGCACTCCTAATTTGGTTGGCTACGTTTCCTGCACAGTAGCATCACTGGGGAAAAAAAGAAAAAAAAAAAAAAAAAAAAAGCATATAAAAAAGATGAAACTTTTCTCATTTTCAGCAGGTAGAACTGTCCTTCACTGCAACTCCTGTCATTTCATTCACACATCATGCTTGGCCTTTCCTCAGAAGGAGGAACTGTGCCAAACTATTTTTGTACAGTTAAAGAACCACAAGGCTGCACCCAGACTCAGTCCAGGTTTTTGAGTTACATGTTTAAAAGATAATGAAATGACAGAACTGTAAAGGTTTCTACCTTTTGATTTTGTTCAATTTAGAATTGTTTATATAAAGACATCCATTTATTTGTGGTAGCCACTATCCACGCTACAACAGAAGGTGCAGCTATGCTCTTCTGGAGCATAAAAGTGCAGAAACCAAAACTCCAAGACGTAGATTTTTGTTGAATCGTCAGGGAATCATCAGTTAAGTAGTCTCAAAGGACAGCCTCCCCAGTTGAACAGCATTTTATGAATAACTGAAGAACTTTTTTTCTATTTATGATCTCCAGGAGCTAGAAAAACAGCTGCAGTGATAAAGAAAGGGAATCGAAGACTACTTTGCCCCTATTCTTGCAAGGAAATCACAAAGCCTTCTTCCTTCCAGGCTTATTTTTCCACTTTTAGACAAGACTCTTCTAATTTCACTGCCTTGGTATTACTGTTGAATCAACTCCTTGAAGGCCAAGTTACTGGTATGTGACCTACAGTAACACAGCTGCGAGCTACCAAGCAGATGTGGAACTCCTCAGATGTGTCCAACTACAGATGCAGGCCGTCAGTTAGCAGCAATAATGCTGGATGTGGAAGGTGAGAAAGAGCATTATCAGAGTGCCTCCAGGACACAGACACACTCATGAGTATGACCACGAATAAGAGCAACTCTTTGAAGGGCTTTTTTCCCTCTTGTAGAGGGAAAGCAAACAACTCATTTCAATATTCTCCAACATCTTTGGTTTAGAAATTCAGCTGTCATTATGGAATGGCAAGGGGCAGAAAGGACTGATGGATGCCCCACAGCATTTTCATTTGCTCTCCTAGCATCTTTGCCACTATTTTACTATTTTAAGTCCCAAAAGATTTTAAACACACTCGTTATAAAATTTATATTACTATTAAAGAAAAATAATTATTTGACACTGCAGTGCTAAACATTTTCTATTAAAAATAACTTGGATAAGGAACTGACAAGACATTGGTTCAAGTGGTGGATTTTATATAGAATGTAGCAATTTTGAATAAATATTAACTTGGCAGCTGTAGAAAAATAATGAGGTGACAAAATCCACCCACCTCCTCAGTACTTACTAATAAAGAGCAGCAGGTAAGTAATCAGCCCCCCCTAGTGTTGATCAGAGCAACTGAAAATGTTAAGAGAAAACTATAAAGTGCACCTCCGACAAAACTATGTAGGGTCTTTCCAGCCTAAAGCTTCCTATCAGTAACACTGTTTAATAGAGCAAGTTCTCAGCCACAGAACACTCTCTTTCAACACAGTCACCCCCATTAGCTATGCATTTTCACCAGCCATGAGCAAGAGCCTGCATGCCACGCTTGTAACAATATGCACACCAGTGGAGGTGACCCACTGCCACTGTCACCAGTGTTGAAACCTCACTGTGCTCACATTCAGTTTGGTCTCCAGAAATGCTGAGCAAGCATGATGAATGTCAATGGGTGCCATTTTTCCTGTTTGGAGGGATTCAATGAGACATCCTTCATTTATACATACTTCTATGTCAGATGCCAACTTGTCAGACTGCCCCTCTGATGCCATCTGTCACACGGCAACAAAATGCAATGGAATATTGGTGGGAAGGTTCAATCTCTACTGCCATACCACCAACATCCACCTCCGGTGTTATGGGCCAACATAATAAAATAGGAGCCATTACTTTTAGAGCAGCCCTCACACAATTCAGGTAATAGCTCTAGTGGAGACGTTTAATGGCCTACACTTGATAATCTTGTGTTACTGGCAGGAACAAAATTCTACCTGTGTGGGCAGCACTGGCACATCACAGTTTACTCTCTAAAGGCTAATTGCAATACAAGCCAGAAAGGCTCAGGCTTGCACTTTATATTCAGACATCCTTAAAACTAAGCTACTTATTGTAACCACCCTATTATGAGAAATATAAAAACTTCCTCCTTGTCTCACTGTTAGCGTACCACAATTTGAACAGTTCTGATGACCAGTTTTTTCATCGGGTGGAAACAGGATACTGTGCACCTTCAGCTTTTTTCAGTTTCTGCATTCTATGCTCAGCTGACTGGAAAGAGCAGCTCACTTCAGTTCTCTGGCAGATGTGCACTTCAATGTCAAAGGAAACAGTGGCACTTAACCACGAAACAGCTGCAAACCACTGTAATTACAGGAAGCAAGAAACTGTGCAGGACAGAAGGTCACTGCCGCTATACCAGAGACCCATTCTAACAGGTACCGAATGCAACTTGTGAATGTGAATTTTAAACAAACACCGTTTATGTGTTTCTAACATAAAAGCTAATCCAGGAACGCAGTGATTTCACCCTACACTACAGATCTATGAATTTTCAGACTCAGGATTTCTTGGTCAAATTTGGAGGAAAGTGGAGTTCTGGTAATGCAGTTACTCTGCATCAATAGAACAGTGACATTTTTAAGAATGCTGTTTGTGCATATTTTCAAAATCCACATTTTAAACTCTAGGAAATTCCATCATTTACTATGCAAAGTCAACAGTTCTGATTTGTTTGTTTCCCCCTTCCAACACTCTTTTCACTTTTTGTTTGTGCTCCACTTTGTGTATATGCCTGATACACAGAACCAAATATAAGGCTATTTTCCTATCTCACATCATGCAACTAACTGGAGGCCTCTTGGAGCTGGGGCATAGATGTATCACTCAAATCTTTTATTTCTGAACATCTGTGAGGCCTGGTTAAGACTTTAAGTTTCTTTCCTGCAGCTTCTCTTTCTTTTGAAACCTTTAAAAACTTTGAGAAACAAAAAAGGAGAACTGTGCAAAACGTCAAGTTACTAACTAGTTTTGCAATCAGTATATTTACATTAAATCACGGTGTCAAATAAATGATAATTAAATGTACATCCACATAATGATCTATACCTGCTACAGGTAAGTCTGTTCACTATGCAGCATACCAGCCCCTCTCAAAGTTGGAAGATAAAAATTACAGAAATGTCAGTCAAAAGCCAAGCAGTAGTGAACTAAGGGACTTAGTTAAAATGGACTTAAAGCAAACTCACTAGCAGGAAAACACTAAACTGAAAATTTTATTCCAAGATTAATGTATTTTCTTCATAGCACAGCTGCCTGCCCATTATACAGGCTGGATGCTCTGCAGAGAATAAGGAATTACTAATAAATGTTTAGCCTCATTATTCAACATAAGACTATGTGCACAGTGACTGCACGTAATACAAAAATACTTCTAAGTAGCAAATTTTTAGCGTCTAACCAAATTTCACCTTTTCATCCATAGGGCACTTTACATAATATACTGAAACCTCAGTTAAGTATATTAGTAAAATTATACTGTGCATTGGAATATCTTCATTAATGGGAATTGATACTCCCGTATAGAGAACAGTAAGTGATGAGCATAAAAATTTATCTTTGCTTGGCTTTTCAGCATGCTCCTAGTAAGATTTTTTCTAGCATTATTAATATTATTGACTTCACTTGTGGATGGATGCCGTCAGCATTTCCATGAGTAAGTCCACAGGATTTCAAACTGGAATTCCAAAAAACAAGGAACATACAATTAGCAACTGCTTCTGAAATGCCTGCCGACTGTGACTTTCTTGACATCACCAAGCCAGCTGCAGAGATATATAACTTAGTATTCCAGGCTAACAGTGAATGTCTTTACTACATCAGTTTGATCTAACTACTACCCTACTCCTTTTCGCATTGCACAACCTTTAGTTCTGGCAGCAAGCTAAACAAAAATCTGCAGTAAACTTCTACTACCCACAGAGACTTACTGGAGAGAACAGCAGAGAAACCACAGCAAAAAAACAGAAATGGAATCAAGAAGACTGGAATGCCTACACACACTGTAATTGAATGAAAGCTCTGCAGATAACCTTTGCTCTGAAATGTTTTCATTTCTGGATGTTTGGATTCATGACTTTGTAACTCTGTATGAACACATAATGATACTTCTCTTGTATGCATTTTTAAAGTCCTCCCTCAACAAAAACCTGGAAAGAAACTTAATCATGGAAAATCGACCTTCCTGTGGGTCATCAACGGGGTTTAGATTTTTCAGATTTACAGAATGTGAACCCGACACTTTATTCCAAGGAATTAACTGCTGCTTACAGATGAACTACCAGGCAGACAAGCTCTGTGCTTTATCAGAGAGCTGCACGGCCAACTGCTGCCACAACAGTACTCTGGACTCCCAATATCTGCCCTCGGTTCTCAATGAGCAGAGAATTCTCTCACAGCCAGAGGTCATTCTGCTCTATACTGGTTAGACTTGAGCTCTTTATGTCCTATGCTACTACTGCCCACCTGAAATCCTTGTCCCAGACTGTGCTTCCCTTCTTGAGGATAACAGTTTCATCCTCCCTGAAATTCATCCTCAACCTGAAATTCTGATATTTTACCATCCTAGTCAAGGACTTATTTCCGTCTAAGAGGAAATAAAAACGATGAATAATCCTGTCATCATCAAATCCCTCTGCTTTTTATCAAAGAAAGTACAGTGGCAGGCATTACTTGCAGACAGGTCCAACATCTTATGTTCTCCTGTGCTTATGAATCCATTTCACTGGAACAAAGTGAAAGAGCTCTCCTTTGACACCAAACCAGCTCTACTTTCCACATTCCTCCTATCCTTAGCCAGGTTTAGTTTTCCCTGCCAAGATATGGAGCATTCTGGGCAGAAATGGAAAAGCTGATGAAAATGCATTTTTTCTCTAATCATAGCCAGAGAAACGACTCATCTGTTTTGGCTAAAATTAAAGTGAGACAAGCACCTAGGTGTCTGCACACTTGCTAAACTAGATGCAGCTTAGAACATGCCTCTCACAATGGAAAGCATGAAGTAATTCAGATCACATTTAGAATGCTTAAAAAACAAAACAAAACCGCAATACCACCACACCATTACAATAAGAAAAAAAACACCTGAGCACCTCTGAGTAACCGATCTAGGTCTAGCAGTACTAAGCAGGTCTTCTGGAAATCAAGGTCATAGCAATAAGTCAAGTCACACACTTCTCAACTTTCAAAAGATTAAATCGTTAACAGAAAAAAAAAAAATACTGCAGGAGAAATAGAGCAAGATAATGCCAGAAATCCCAAACATTCCTGAATGCAGAGAATTTGGGAAACAGGAGTGCACTTTATATGAACTACTGAATGAACTACACAAAATGAAGGTATTTCTCCAAATCCAGCACGGAGACAAAAGCTAAACCAGCCCACATCATGCATCTGATCTAAAAACTGTATCTGTCTTGGCCTCAAGAACAGCTGGGCCCCACAAAAGCTATGTGCCATTCAAAACTTCTGAATTCTGGGCTTTGCAAGTCTGCTTCAACTTGATAAATTGGATATTGATATCTACTAGCCTATAGAGACTGTGCAGAAGTCAGGCTCTTACCAACAATACAACTGCATCCAGAAGACGTGCATAAGCTATAATCACTTTCAAATTAAAATTATTACTAGTGTACCCCAGATGTGCACCACCCTTCCAGTGTCCTAATCAACGTACTTACACAAGAAGTATACTCTGAAGAATATTTAGAGTGCTCAAAGAACAAACCAGCTTTTCAACGCTGAGTTGTTGCTAACTCTGAAATGTACCAATAAACTGAAAAGAGAAATTATTTTGACCATCTACCCTGAACACTGCATAAAGATCCTAACATCTATTCAACAACTTCATAGAAAAGCCCACAACAGGGTTAATAAACCATCAGGATGGTAATAAAAGTGTGAAAAAATATGAAAATGGAAAAAAAAAAAAAAAAAAGTTTTAAACTGGCTTACTGTATCACATTTAAGTTTTATCCTTCTATTACACTATCGATCCTTTAAAATAACAATCTTTGGGTATGGTACTCTTTTTCACATTTTAACAACATAAGAGAAGTATAAAGACTTTCAGCATTTTATTGCCAAGCACCCATTAGGAAACAGAGGCAAACACTTTGTCCCGCTAACTGCTTTAGAAGACTGCTTTTCTTGCTTCTTAAATAACATTGACAAAAAGAAAAAAATGAAAATTGTATCAAATGGAAACGGTATCTCAACTGATCCAAATGTCTGCCAGTAGACTTTTAACTTTAAATCATTAGGATAAATAAAACGAGCTTAGATGTTTCCTTCGGAACAACATAGAAGTGAAGACACTGCAACTCCACTTCATTAAACAGATAACATATCTTCTTAAGACAAATGAAAATTATCTTCAAATATTCAGTGACATGTCTCTGCCATAAAAAGAAATCTATGACTTGCTTATAAACCTTTTTTGTTTATTTAGGAAATACTCAAGAATGCTAGAGTTGAAGATAACATTAATATCACAAAGTTTATCAACTGTTTCACGCTCTGTAGATTACATACTGAATTGACAATCTGGTTGAAATCTTTACTACTTATATTAAGAATATTACCTTGCGTGTAGGCAGCATCATCAGATCCCATACTCAATTTTCGTGCATCACTGATCCTATCCACATGTGCTAAAACAGGGTCAGTAAGATGCTGGATACCCTCTGGTTCAACATAGTGATCAGGAAGGTTTAGAAGGTTTGTAGGTTCAAAGGTTGGGGAGACTACCCCTGGGGAAACTGCAGGGGGCTTATTTGGAGAAACCGTAATTTTAAAAGTATATTTTGTGTTAGGCTGCGTAACAACCACTCGAGGAGAGGTTGCAGTGGTGCTGTTGCCCACTGCTCGACTCTTGGGTGGATGGTGATGAATAAATGCAGGACCCATGCTTACTTGACCAGACATATTCCTAGAAGTGGCAGATACTCCAGGATTTGTCGATATGAAAAGCGTGGGCTGGTTCCGCACAAGTTGATCATCTCCTGTGGTGGCATTTGCTGAAATGTAGACCTTAGGCTGACCACGTGTGATCACTTCATCAGTATTTGGAGGACTGGCCGATATGTAAACAGTGGGCTGACTTCTACTTAATGTCTGGCTGTTGAGGGAAGAGGGAGTAGTGGAGGTGCGAGGGCCAGTTGAACGCAACTTAGAAGAACTATTTCTCTGTGGTGGTTCAAGTTTGATTTCAATTTGGTTTTTGCGAGGTCCTGTGGATATATTCTGAATGTTGTATTGGCTATGAGCAGAGGATTGTGAGCTACCAGATGAATGAATCATAGGTGCTTGTGGAGTAGTAGGAGAACTGATAGGCATATAGACATGAGAAGTCTGGTGGCCTTGCTGATTTGGCTGCGTTGAGTGTTGCGATGAGGTATGTGGCGTGGTATTGGATGTAGGAAGAGTAGTCCAAGGACTTGGCTGCGAAGGCTGGTAGACTTGCTGAGGATGCATAGGATTAAACTGAGATGCCCAACCTGCCTGCTGCTGTGTCTGTCGAGCTGTACCACTAGGAGCTGTGATATAAGGCCTAATATAGATAGAATTTCCCTGTGGACTGTTAAGTACAGGAGGAGGTACACCATGTATGTGCAAAGACGTAGGGGTATTGCGGCCAGGCTGAATATTTGGGGCTAAGGTTACCATGATTGGGTTGAATCTGGGTGTTTGTTGAGACAAGTTAGATACTCCTTTGCTGCCTAGGTGAAATCCAAGATGTTGCCCCGGATTAGAAGCACTAACTGTATTACCCATTCCAAAGACATTAAATCCTTGTGGAACCTGCGCAGGTGCAGTCTGTGGTTCCTGCTGAAATAGTTCATTGTTGGGCTGCTTGGTTTGAAGGTGTCCATCGCTAACGCTGTGAGCTAGAGTCCTACTTCCATTCATTCTTCCATCTCTTCCATGGTGATACACGTTCTGTGACTGCAAATCCAAATTAAGAGATGTCATGTGATTTCGTAGTCCAGGAATCGCAGAATCATCCGAGAAACTTAGGTCTCCTTCACCATAGAGATATTTTGTGCTCTCCTGAGACAGAACTGCACAACAGGCATCCAAATTATTGTTATTCTATAAAAGACAGATGAAAGTTTGACGTTACTGATAAAATACTGTTATGGTTAGATAAATATAGGCACAAAACCATCAGTGAAAAGTTAACAATGTAGCATCAAATGGAAAGCTTTAGGTGGTTGGCCAGCATAGCAACTACAAACATACACACAAAGGGCTTGCATGTGAAGCTTACTATTTTGAGAACTGCAACTCAGTCACTGGAATCAAGAACAGAGGTCTGCACTGCTGCTGAAGCAATGACAGTGACATCTTGAATCTTGATAAGCTAACTTGGTACAGTATGATACACTGTGATTGCATACTTTTGCTACTCCCTCTGAATTTCAGAACAATCTTCACCAATGACCACATCTCTGGCTTGAGAAGAAAATGACAGAAAGAACAGACTCACAGTACCTACATGTGTACAGTACTGGCAAACAACTTAAAATCAAATTACATGTTTACTTAAAAAAAAAACAACAACCTTTTGCAAACACTTCAATACCAGTTACGCAGTAACTCCTGCTGAAAATGAAAGCTGAATCGTATGCAGAGAAGAAACATGCAGACCAAAGAAGTTGCACAGGAGCATATGACTTCAGAAGCAACGTAAAAATTCAGTTTATGCACATACAGCATATGATCACTTTCTTGCAAGTCGAAAATATTAATGAAAACCCAGGGGCCATTTAAACCACTGTTTGAAAAGCTCTTAAATACTTACATTTGTATAAGATTACTTTATAAAACCTGTAATAAAGAAACTTAAAAACCACCACCTAGCTAATTTGCTTTTTTAAGAACGTATCAGAAGGAAACTAACTGCTAATCCTAGTTCTGTATTTCCACACATTTAATAATACTGTATCAGATCTCCATAACTGTTTCCCTACATAAGGGCCTTGCTAAAAGAACCTACGTGTGCTGGTGGCATAATTTCAGAACGCTGTGCTCTGTCCGTACAATTTCCTGTACACTCCTCCCTCCAGTCCTCACCTCAATAATAAGTTAATGCTTTCAGCCAGAAAAACTCTTGTTAAGGCACAGATGTTGTAAAAACAAAGTAGGTGTCAAATTCATCCAAACACACTGAACACCAGTTACCAAAAGGAAGAAAAATGATCAAGGAAAATATTGTACATGCCAAGTAGTAACATTATCATATAGTTAAAGAACACACAAGCAAGAGAAAGTGTTCCATGCCACAAGCTTTGCAGCAAGTTATTTTTGTTAAACTAGTAGATAGGTGAGGGCTTGGACAGAGTTGTGCAGTCAAAGCAAGCCTGTCTCTATCTGAAAAAAATTACTGAAGGAAAAAACAAAATAAGAGAAGTGGGAGAGGGAGGACAAGCTAAACTCCACCCACAAAACCAAAACTATGTGTTGATACAGGCCAGATGAAGTTCTGAACTCTTAATTAATACTTAAAAAACAAAACAAACAAACAAAAAAACTGAGAATCAATCCAAACAACAAAAAAGCTTTAAAAAAAAATCACAAAAAATACGGGGTTTCCTAACGGCCATCTAACTAGCCAGTCACATAACAGAAATGTTGCAGAAATGTCTTGAGATGAAAGTGGGTCAAATGACTGTACACATAATGGGTCTAGATTGGAATAAGCACAAGAGGACAAAGTAATCAAATAACGTTAGTAGTGAAGAAAGGAATCAAACTAAGAAAGAACAGTGGGTAAGAAAATACAGTAACAGTAGCCTTGTATTCATTGCAAAGAAGAAAAGGGAGCCAGAAACGGGACAGGATGCCATAGAAAAACAAGCTAAGAAATCTTAAAGATTTTGCATGAACTTCAGTGAACGAAAATTATTAACAGAAAGGTAAAAAAATTAAAAAAAATATTAAAAAATCAAACCAAAAAGGAACAGGCCAGGCTTGCAACGCCCTTACATTCAACTTGAATGCATTTGCTTTGGACATTTTTTTTTTTTTTTAAAGACTGCATCCAATCAGTTCCAAAATTACAGTGATGGCAACGAGCAAATTGGAGAATTCAAGGGGGAAACAGGGGCACATGGAACCCCTGGCATCTTCTGGCTGGCAGAGGCAGAGTTTCAACCGCTTCTAGTTCTTTATAGACCAGAGAACCGGTTGATGGCAGAATTGAGCATATTCCAGCAAAACAATGCCCCTCATCTTAGCTCTGCCCATGTCCCAATTGAGTTTAAAATGTTGGCACCCTGAAAGAGAAAGAAAAAAAAAGAAAGAATAAGAATGCTGGAGGGAAATGAGGAAGCAAGGAGAGGACGTAGACTTGAGGTGCAGGTGGTTATAAAATGCCCCAGACACACAAAAAAAAGAACCAAAAGGGACAATGTCCACACAGAGGGGAAGCTGTGGCAATCCTTTTGAGCGAGAAGGGGAGGCTTGAATGCAGAAAGCTTGCTTTCCAGGCAGAATGGAGGGATGCAAAACTCTTCTGGAACACTCGATGCAGTCAGCCCAAGAAAGCAGTAAGATCGCCAGTTCCCTAGATGATACAGGTTTCCATTTCATGTTAGTTTTTGGTGGTCCTCTGGTTTCAAGATTCTAGGTATCATTGGATATTTTAACATTGGGCAAAAGAACAGCATTGAGAAATCTGTATAGTTTTTCTGCATAATTCATAGTGATCTTAAGAAGCCTTGGTTGTGATAAAAATCTTTTGTCACAATCACTATGAAATGCATAAGTGTTTGAACTCTTGCAGGTTCTCCCCTGTGATATTTTGTACTTCCTGTTGTAAAAATAGCTTCACTCTGACACATACTGTGGGGGCAAGGCAAATCACAGCACTTCTTATACAGTACAGTACATTACTAGTTGTATCTCAGAGCTAGGCTACAGTTATTACATTTACCAGAAATTAATTCCACCGTGCTCAGTTACTACAGGGCACAACTTGGTATGCAGATATTGTTCCAGAAGCACTACAAATACGTGTCCAAGTACTTTCAAATCCCACTGTCCAGTATTTACCACCAGCTCAAGTACACAGTTTCTCAGTTTGGAAAGGTTATATTATTATTTTTTAAAGCAGTCCAACTTAGAGTCGCGTAGTCAGAAGCTGATTCAGAGAATTTCAAACACCAAACTCAGGATTTTTTTTTAGAAACCTCAGCTTTGAATAACCTACTAACAACATCACCATAAGTAGCTTTAGGGTGTACTGAATTAGTGTAATAATATTGTACATATGGAACATATGCATATATAAACTTTTTTTCTCCTTTAAAAACACTTACAAAAGGTGACCTAAAAAAAATTCCCTCAAAATCTGAACTCTCATCCCCTATCTCTATCAAAGTACAGCATGCACAATATCTTCTCTTCACAGTTTTAAGACTTCTTTTTACGCAAAAAACCAAATCCATTGTATTCAGTAGTATTCAAAGACTGCTGAGTTTTGAAAAGCCATATGCTATCTTTTAAAGAACCAAGAACCAAACATCCAAAAGGTGACAGATCTTGCATTCACTCCTACTTCATTGACCTTACTCAATAAGCAACTCTCTCATTTTAAGAAAAAAACTGTATCTGTAGTATATAAGTTAGACTAGTTCTACAGAGAGCTAATATAAAAAATAGCAGTGAACTATCCTGAGAACAAATACAAGCAGTCTATTGTCTGGTTCAATTTTCCCTACAGCTAAATAATTAAAGATAAAGGGTTGGGAAAAGCCTGAAACCTCATAAGTCCACTTTCAAATCAAAAACAATTCTCTCAAGAACTGCTGTTTTCACAAATTCTCACTCTATTACAAATGTAGAATTATGATTGAGTCTTGAAAATTCAAACATTTAACTGGCACAATCACACTTCCAACAGCACAACAGGCACAGCACTACTTGGATGCATGTATGCTGACTATATATATCCCATACGTAAGTATGGACACATGTATTTTACATATTAAAATACATATAAAAATAAAACAATGAGCATTCTTTACAGCATAATTCTATCATCAAAGACATGTCATAGCCATAGCCCAGAGACAACCAGCTTCTGGGAACATACTGACTATCTTTTTCCCAATCAAATTTTGTGTGTTGTTGATCAATGCGAGTATTCACACAATCCTCCATTATCCAACATACTCAAAGGCTGAATACTATAGATAATGATGAAATCCAAACAGCACAGATATTTTGGGATCACAAGAAAATGCAAAGCAAACACACTTAAGCAACACAGTTAAGTAAGCATAACAGAATTTGATGCCATTCAGAGGGAACTCAACAGACTTGAAAGGTGGGCCCATGTGAACCTGATGAGGTTCAACACAGCAAAGTGCAACGTTTTGCACCTGGGCCGGAGGAATCCCAGGCATCCATACAGACTGGAAGGAGAGATCCTTGAGAGCAGCCCTGCAGAGAATGACCTGGGGGTCTTGATGGATGAAAAACTTAACATGAACCAGCAGTGTGCTCTTGCAGCTCAGAAGGCAAATGGTGTCCTGGGCTCCATCAGGAGAGGGGTGGCCAGCAAGGACAGGGAGGTGATTGTCCACCCTCCACTCTGCTCTTGTGAGGCCCCATCTGGAGAATGTGTCCAGGTCTGGAGCCCCCAGTACAAGAAAGACAGAGAGCTGTTGGAGAGGGTCCAGAGGAGAGCCACAAAGATGATCAGGGGACTGGAGCACCTCCCCTACGAAGACAGGCTGAGGGATTGGGCTTGTTCAGTCTGAGAAAAGAAGGCTGCGGGGTGACCTCATTGCAGCCTTTCAATACCTAAAGGGAGCCTACAGACAGGAGGGGAGTCAACTCTTTGAAAGAGTTGATAACAGCAGGACAAGGGGAAATGGTTTTAAGTTGAGGGAGGGGAGATTTAGGTTGGATTCAGGGGGAAGTTCTTTACAGAGAGTGGTGAGGTGCCAGAACAGGCTGCCCAGAGAGGTTGTGGATGCCCCATCTCTGGAGGTGTTTAATGCCAGACTGGATGGGGTCCTGGGCAGCCTGGTCTAGTATTAAATGGGGAGGTTGGTGGCCCTGCATGTGGCAGGGGGATTGGAGATTCATGATCCTTGTGGTCCCCTCCAACCCAGACCATTCTGTGATTCTGTGAAACTACAGATATAGCATCAACAATAGCATCAGAAAAATTCTTTATTATTTCTGAGACCAAAAGGAATCCACAAATCAGCAGCATGGATTCCAAGGCTACAGTAAAACAAACTAAGGCCACCAGGCAGCCCAAGAAGAACTGGGTAGAAACACATGAGCACATCACATCTGTCCAGGTGTCACACAGCCAAGACCAGGCTGATTGCCTACCTGACTCGGGCTAATATCAAGAAGACAAAGGACTCAGGTGTGTGGGGATTACTACATTCTAAGGCTCCCTGTTGTAGAACATATGTAAGGCCACCAGCACCAGCTCTGCAGGCCAGGTGAGCTGCGGCAGAAAAACAGTGGAGCAGGCAAATGCCAAGTAATGAGATCAAAGTCTGATGGAGATCAAGGTGGCAAAACTGCTTCTGTACCTGTGATGCTCGAAGCATACAAAAAAAAAAAAAAAAAAAAAAAGTGGAGCACTGTCTTAAAAAAGTGCTTGCTGGACTTTGTATCTATCTTTTGGCCACAATTCAACTTTGGCTCATTAGACGGCCAAAAGGCAATGAATATACTCATTATCAAGACTACAACCTCCATGCACACTGCTTCACAGGATGGTTTGCTTAGGAGGGGCCAATCCAGCACAGCTTCCAATCCGGAATAAATAAATTGGCTGCATATATTTGTCTCATTCAAAGAAGAAGACAGAAAGAAAACCAACCTGCTTTCAGTACAGACACTTACACATGGTTAGTTAACACTTAAAATAAGCATAATCAATTACTCATACAGTTACTAACAGAACACTGACCTGTAACATGCATCTGGATACAACACCTTCAGGTACCTCAGGAAACTTCTGTCGCAGGTCATGTAAAACCTGAATATCAATTTGCTGGCTTCCTTGGGCCATTCGTATATTGCCTGGTCAGGATTGTTTTTCAACAGGCAGTTTTAGGCCTTAGTAAAGGGAGCACTCATCTCTTCTGACCCAGCATTTTCTGAAAGAAGGAAAAATTTAAGACACTGAATGCAGGCACTATTGATGTTAAAACGTCAAACAGAACAAAACCTGAAAAAAAAAAAAACTCCTCAAAAATCCTCTTCAGTTATTAAATCTAAATCTGCATTTTATGTCAGTGTTTTTCCACATCACGTCTGGCTAACAAACGTCTATTCAGTCTCTTACAACCTTGAAAATTGCTCGTGTAAAGGCATATCTGATCAATTTCCTTTTTTTTTTTTTTTAAAGAAGAATATAAATTTATCAAAATATTAAAATTAATTGTTTAGGACCAGCATTTTTATTTCTTTAAAACATAAATTCATGCAAAAAAGTTTACATCAAAAAAGTGAGAAAGCATTAGTTTAGCTTTTGCATGTAATTAGTTACATTTTCCCAGTTACCGTTTATTACAGAAAATTGGGGCTAGAAGTTCAGTGTTTCATAAGTTTCAGGATTTATTAGCAACAGCCTATTAGTTTTCACCTGATGCATTTCAGAGATTATGACTGGAAGGAAACAACTTACAACTTATTTCCTCAATTAATTTTGTGTCTTTTTTAAAAAAGGAAATTATGAAGAATATACCGTAACCAGCCAGTCACACTTGTACAAGATATCTGTCCTGAGCTTACAGCATTCCTGCATGCTTTTACCAAGAACAGTTTCCAGCAATTAAGTTTGGAAGAATGTAGAGTTAAGCAAGAGAATGGTATCTCCTTCGTTTTCTTATAGTCATATCCATTTGTAATATTAGTTTACCCATAGCAGTCAACTCCAACATTCATTTACTTCACAAGTT